GTAACTCTATTGGACCTCAGATCATATAGTCCAACCTCTTCCTTTTATAAATGAAGAAACTGAGTCCCAAAGAGGAAAACTCACTTTGCCCAAGAAGACGCAGATAGTAAGTAGCCTAGCTGGAATTGGAACACAGGTCTTATGATAGAAAATCTGACATGCTTTTCACCATGCCACACTGCCTCTCCTGCCTCTACTCATTTCTTCAAAGCTATTTTATAATATGTCATATAACCTCCCTCCTCAAGCTTAATTTGTGTTTCTACAAATTCGATTTAATAAATATGAATTAAATACCTACTGTATGCAAGGCACTATAGTTAGGGGAGAGAAATGGTACAATGGTACAAGTGATAAAGTCAGACCTGTGCATTAAAGACAATTAATTTGGCAACTTTGTGAAGGAGTAGTTGGAGTTATCTTGAACTAATACTCCATGACCTCTTCCCCCTACCCCCACCCCAGCCATGGGAAAAAATAACTGCAATGAAATCCATACAAAGAAGTTTCTTAAATAGAGTAGAGCTAGATTTGTACTGCCTCAAGTGAAATTTGACAAAATGGTAAACTGAGGTAAATCTCTGAGTAAGGTAACATTTATTAACATGAGCATGCTACCTGCCAAAAAAATGGTCAATGGATTACTGCCATTGATGCCAAAGACCCCAAACAAAAGGTTTTGAGTAGTACAGAACAAAGAACAGAATCATGGGATTGAGTACAATCCCATAACTGGTTACAAAGCTGAGGCACAGGGAATGGCATGATTGGTCAGAAGTTTGGTAGTGGGGGCTGGCAATGGCCTCCCATTCTTCTCTTATGAGACTAAGGAGTGCTCACTGTTTGAGTCTAAGTGTGAGATAGTGAGTCTGATATTTGGATGGCAAACCAGACATCTTTGAAGGACAGTTTGTAAAGATGTCAGGTCCAAATGCTCTTGTGTTCACATGCATTCTCCAAGGTTAGTTGAATTCCTTGAGGCAACAAAAGGTGATTTTTTTTCAACTTAACAGGCCAGTTGAACTCTGAACTAAGCTCAGAAACAAAAGAACAAAAGCAGTTATTTGGACAAAATCAATTACTTGTAAATAGAGTCAATAAGAAAATGATACAGGATCAGTCTTAATCTTCTCAGGACCAAGCTAAAATGTTTGACCAGAGAATGCCTGGAATTACAGAAGAAAGCCCTTTAGTATGTTTTTTAAAACTTTATTAATATGTCTTGTTTTTATATTGCCTAAATTTTTCCCTATATTATTCTCCTTACTTCTCCCAGAGAGCCATCCTATGTAACCAAGAAGCTTTTTTAAGAAAAAAAGAGGAAGAGAAAAAAACATCAGCAAATCTAACATATACACACTCATAAATCAGGAAATGTATGTAATGTTCCACTCCTGTGGACCTCTCAGTACTAAAGACAGCCTTTCCAAGGAATAGCATTAAAAAGCAAATATCTCCTTTTCCTTTGGACCGATATGCTCCTCATTTGGTTTATCTTATTTGTTGTAAACCTTGTAAACCTTGCTAAGCTTTATTTGTTTCCTTTTAAAGAGGAGTAGAACCTTCTAAGAGGAAAAGCTTTTAATGGCTCTGAACCAATTGCCAATTAAAAATACATCGTTGAGTGTTGGGCAGTGTTGGTCTCTTCAGTGAAGAGAGAAGGCATCTTGACCTGCTGGTTACAAGTACTTTTTTTGAGGAATGTAGCTGCTGAAGTTAAGAGGACTTCTACATTAGTAATCCTGATTATGAAGGAGTTGAGAGGCATTTGGTGTAGTGGGAAGAATACTGGATTTGGAGGAAGAAGTCTTGACATCAAATCTTGCTTTTGCTACATGATAACCATAACCTTAAGGAAGTCATTTGACCTCTCTAACCTCAGTTTTGTCAACTATAAAATAGAGTTGGGCTAGAAAATCTCCAAGATCCCCTTTAACTCTAAAAACTGATCCTATAAAGCAGTGGGGCTTAGTAGGGTAAATAACATTTATCCTTATAAATAACAATATTTATCCTTATTAGGCTAAATAAGAGATTTTGAATTTAGTAAGCACAGGTGCTAGAAAAGGTGCTTATTAATAAAAGTCAGCTTTACATGGAGGTGAAGTAGGTGGCCACCTGCATAACACCCTGATTTCATAGGCAAGGGAAAGGACCTACCACTCAAGGAAGTAACTTCCCTCGGGGTTCCATCTGGGAGTTGAAATGATTGTGCCTTGAGGGCAAAGCACAACAATAAAATGTATTTTAGAAGAAAAAAGAAATACTACCTACCATACCTCCCCCTCTGCTGATGCCAAAAATGTCTTTAAGATACAACAAAGCCTTTCATTCCATGATCAGAAATGAAGATTTAGAAGAAGATTAAGGTGGTGGGTTAATGAAAACTACTAAATAAGAAGTAGCTTTTGGGATTTATACAAGAAAGCCCTTTTGTGCCTGCTCAGGTTGTTCTGGCCTGCATAATTCTGGATTAGTAAGAAAAGAGAGAAATTCCAGCTAAGGCCAGCCATTGGCTCTCCTTCAGTGTGAAATTGAGGGGGCTAATCCTCCCATTACATATATAACTTAACAAGGTAAATTTGATGTCTTTAGACTCAAACACATGAATTTCTTTGGAAGTCCTATTTCACTATGTTCCCTTTCACAGAAGGCACAGCTTCTGCTGAGCACTCACAGTTCCATTTCCCATCTGTGTCTTGCAGATACAGCTACCTGGAATGCTTCCAGCCTGCTTATATGTAATTAGATGCCTATGTAGGGTTTATTTTGGGCAGCTAAGTGGCTAGAGCACTGGCCCTGGAGTCAGGAAGACTTGAGTTCAAATCTGTCCTCAGACACTTATTAGTTGGGTGACCCTTGGGCTAGTTACTTACCCTGTTGCCCCAGTTTCCTCATTTGTAAAATGAGCTGGAGAAGGAAATGGCAAACTACTCCAGTATCTTTGCCAAGAAAACCCTAAATGGGGTCATAAAGAGTTGGACACAAAATGACTGAACATTGGGTAGGTTTAGTTTGTTAATGACTTTGAGATCCTTAATGGAGATTGTTTTTCCATTTGATAAAGATCTGTGGAGGAATTCCTTATATTCAGTAATTGTGTTAGTTTGGATTAAATTTGTAGCTCTAATTTAACATGGGAGTTTAAGCCTGACAATGACATCAGAATCACTGATTGCTATGATTTGCAGATTACTGGCAGCCAGTGGTGCCAATGGTTGTCAAACTCCCATGTCATAATGCCATATAATTACATGTTTACGTAGTACAGTCAGGTGAACTTGAGTTTAAAACATACTACCTGAATTGTGTGGCTTTGGACAAGTCACTTGAACTCTCTCAATCTCACTTTGTGTATCTGAGGGTCTTTTTCTTCCAGTTTGATTTTTTTTTTTTATTAAAGGGACTATCATTTGAATCACTTCTTAAAGAGGCCTATTCGCTGACTGGGTGTTGTCTCACTCAAAGTGAGAACCTGAAAAGACCTTAACTTAAAAGGGCCAGCGTCTCTCACTGCATCCTAGGCCATCTCTAGTCATTATGATGAATATCTGGCCACTGGACCCAGATGGCTCCGGAGGAGAAAGTGAGGCTGGTGACCTTGCACAGACTTCCTCACTCAAATCAAAGTCAATTGCAAGTCATGTCATCATCTCCCTGATGTGATGGTTTTCTTTGAGAATTAAGGACAAACACAACCTAATATCACCTACCTCACAGGGTTGTTGTGAGGATCAAATGAAGTAATAGTAAAGCGCCACGTAAATGCTAGCCATCATCATCATTATTGTTATCATTGTTGAAACTCTCCTCCACTGAAGTACCCTTCTAAAGTCTCCTTATAGTATAGAGATGATTCTTGGATCTCCATGTTTATACTGATGGAGAATCAAGCTTTGGCAGGTACCACCAAGCTGGAAAAACTTCAATTACAGATCCCCAAGTGGACAATGTCTGTTGTATGAAGACCAGCTGAGCTGAATTAAGAGAATCATGACCAGGTTGGTTGCAAAGTGATGGATTTTTTTGGCTAAAATACCACCCACAGGGATGTAATCTGAGATTCTTGAAGTACTGAAATGTGAAAGTTGAAATGCCAATTAAAAATTTCTCCTATTTATACTTATTCTGTTCTCTAGTTTAGGTTTTTTAGAGATAATATTACCTTGGATGATTTCTCCTCTTCTGACTCTATAAGGCAAGGTGAAAATTATTATAGGCAATTCTTAGTGTACACTATAAATTTACTGCTGGAAGTGACCTTGGAATATATTAAATCCAACCCCCTCATTTTATAGATGAGGAAACTGGGGCTTATAGTAGTTCATGTATTTGCCCAGAGTCAAATAGTTAGAAAATATCTGGGGCAAGATTCAAACTCAAATCTCCTTCATTTCAGGTTTAGCAGTCTTTCCACTGTACCACTTAGCTGCCTGAAAGGGACCTCTGAAGCTGTCTATTCCAACTTGTAAATGAACAGCATCCCCTCTACACCACCCCTGAAAAGTGATCATCCAGTCTCTCTTAGAATTCTTCCTGTTAGGGGGAGCCCACTAGCACTGAAGGCAAGCCATTCTGCTTTGAGATAGCTCTGCTTGGTGGGATATTTTTCCTTACAATAAATCTAAATCTGCCTTTCTTCAAGAAGGACATGTTGGTAGAATGGGATGTGACTTTGCAGCTGTTGGTATCGCCAACTTAATAAGTTTTCTAGGAAGCAAAATGGAGACAGGAGTGGTGGATGTGAGGTGAATAAGATACCAGACCTGAATGGCTGGAGCTTTGCCGTCTTCAGAGATTTACAATGCTCTTCATTTTCTCTGTTGCCATCTTTCACTTGGACAAATTAATGTTGATCTCACCCATTTCTCCAGTTCTTTCTCTTTGTTATAATCTTGGAACCCTTTTCTCATGATCTCCAGTTGTTACAATTTAATGACTGAGAAGCATTACAGTTAATGATCACTATGTATGTGCTTGATTTTTTTTAAACCACCCAGGAGCTGAATGTCACAAGCTGCAGTGGTCCCAGACTGAAAGGGGATAAGCTTCTTCTCTATGCAAGTACATTTTGCAACAGGTTGACCGTAGTGGATTTAAGTTGGAGTGGGGCTACGGATCTGGGCGTGTTAGCTCTTGTTGAAGGAGCTTCAAGGTACAGTATCAAAAATTATTCGGTCTTTCCCCAAGTGCAATAGTAGCCTTTCCTTTTCCTGTGACCAGTATCTGTAGAAAGAAAAGAGGACACCATCTTACTGGTTATTTTCCTCTAGACACCTTCCTGTAGCTTTCTAGTATCTGGAAAATGTGGTACTCAGTTTTTGACGTAATACTTTAGATATTGCCTGAAAGAGTATGGTAGAAGTATACCATGGCTTTTTATTCTATTCTTGTGTTAATGCAGTCTAAAACCATCTTTGCTCTTTTGGCAGCATGTCACATTGTTGAGTCATATATAACTCCCAAACCAGGAAGAGGGATAGCTTAGTTCTGTAAATTCCTTTGTCCTCCTTGGATTTAAAAAAAAAAAAGGGCTTCCTGTAAACTCTTGAGTAACCTTAAGGTCTGGAGGCTGAAATAAATGAATAATTGCAACTTGCAAATATTCCCTACACCTGATTTAAGCCATTTTTTGCAACCATAGTTAACCCTCTTTTCTGAGCTCCTATCACACTTATCTATATTACTTATGCTGGCATAGTGCCTTGCATTGTTATTTAACTATTTAGAGTCTGCATGTATTGGCTAAGACCTTAGATTTCCTTTGTCTTTTTTCATAGCAAATGCTATAGATATATATTTCTCTCTGTACAGATATTTATAGATCTATGTAGATAGATCTATAGATATATATATCTTCTATCTATCTACAGATATACCTGTATCTAAATATAGATAGATCTCTGTGCAGATAGAAATATATAGAGATATATAGATAGACACAGATATATCTTCTTTTTTAAATAAAGAAAAAAAATGATTAAGTATAACTGTAATTTTGTTTACTTTTAGCCTTCAAGGATTATCTATAAATGGATGCCGGATTACAGACAAAGCCATTAAAGCCTTAGTTAAAAAACATGGAAACAGGTAATAACATTCAACCTTTCATCTGTATACAACTATCACATATGAGTCATGGAAACATTGAAAACTTCTTTGGGGTGCTCATTGCTGAGTTACTGGTAATTTTGAATATATGCGTATAAATATTTTAAAAGCAAACTGTAGAATTAAATATAGCAAATTACTTTTCTAGAATTTATCTATTGCTTGGGGTGAAAGAGTTAATCCCATTTAGGGAAAGTACCTATTAAAAATCTATAATAGAACATGATGATTGGAAATTTGCTTCACAGTAGGAAATGCCAACAGCACCAATCTGAGAATACTTCCTTTAATGCTGATGGTGCCTACCACAGTGACAGTAGTGGTGACCTCATCCCAAAGGGGCTTTCTTCATCTTTTTGTAGCTTTTTGGAAATCTTGTGAGATTCTAAGGAATGATTCCTCTTTCTGGAGGCTATGCCACCACTGCTGTTACTTGCATCTGATACCAAAATAGCTTTGTCCCCAAAACAGTGTCTCACACCCCCTTCTACCCCTCATCCACATCCCCAGCTAAAATTCAACTATGTCTATAGTGGGAATCTCCTTGTCTATGTTATCCTAAATTATGAAACTTACAAAGTTATATTTCTTCTTGATGGCTTCATGTCAAAGATGTTACGTCAGATTAATTTTGTTTTCCTTTTTTTTTTTGCAGTTGTAGACTGTTTGATTAAGGAAATGCAGGTGAATTAATTTGCCTAGAATTTGGCAAAGCATTTGAAAAAAATGAACATAAGTTCTTGTGGATTAGACAGAAAGGTGTGGTTAAAACAATAATATAGTTAGGAAATAGTTGACTGGTTGGATGTAGAATAGTCATTAATGGTTCTATGTCAAATTGAAAGGCAGATTCAAATGGAATGGTCTAGGAATCTTAGCTGTTGTGTAATTTTTTTTGCTAGTAACTTAATGTTTTTCATGTATTCATATGACATAAAGCTAGGAGGGATAGGTAACATGTTGGATGCATCAGGATGGATAAAGATCTCAACAAGCTAGAATATTGGACTGAATCTTATAAAGGGATAAATAAAAATTCTTAATTTGTTTTAAAAATAATCTTTATTAATATAAGATAGGGGAGCTATGACTACAGTTTATCTGGAAAATAATCTGGATTTTTTTTTTTGGTTTATTACAAATGTAATAATAATCAACAATTTCATATAGCTGCCAAGAGAGTTAATGTAATATTAGGATGCATTAAGAGATAGTATCCATGCTTACAGAGTGATAATTCTATTGTACTCTTCCCTGGGTAGAATACATCTAGAATGTTATAAAATATACCTCTGAAGCCCCTTCCAATTCTGAGATCCTGTGACCTGAAATAGGTATTGAAATGTGATCTAATATTATCTGAAGACACAAAGTTATGGGATTTTGAAGACTTTTCACAGAGCAGGCTATTGTGCTCATTCTAGGGACATTAGCTGTTGTTATCTTACTCCCGTAGGAGATATTCTAGAAGAATGTTCACAAGTAGCAGTTATGGCTTTAGCCTTTTATTTAGAGGCATCTGAGGGCCATCTCCAGTCATCTGATCTATATCTTGTCATTGGACCCAGATGGCTCCAGAGGAGAAAGTGAGCCTGGTGACTTTGCATAGCCCTCCCTCACTTAAATCCAGTTCACTTGTTAAGTCATGGTACCACCTTTCTGCTATCATGGTCCTCTTTAAGAATGAAGCAAAAACAACAACAAGAGGCATCTATTCCTCTTTGATAAAAGTAAATTTTGATTGGGCCACAAATTACATGTTTTTTTTAATCTCATAAAACACTGTTTTTAAATAGTCTTAACCATCAGTTGCTTGCTTCCTTCTAATACGATAACATAGTCTTCTGTTCATACCATGATTCAGACAAGAATGGAATAGAATAGATATGTCTAGACACTGGAAATTGTTTACTGTCTGTGGTTATTTTTGACATTTCAGACTTTCTACTTGGTAGAGAAAAATATTCTACCAAATGGACTTACAATAATTTTTTTCCTTGAAAAACCAACAAACCAACAAACCATGCAATTGACTATGGGAAGTGTTAGGACCACGTACCTTGTTCCAGGATGACTATCCTACTTCTTATTCTCTATATAAATCCTATTTATTCAAGGCCCACCCTGTCTATGCCAGCCCACCTTAATTATTCCAGTCAACCTCCTTTTCTTCAGTAGTTGAGTTCCTATGGCATTTATAACCCATAAAACGCAACCAGACATCCCCAAGTCATAGAATCTCAAAATTTCAGGGTTGGAAGGGGTGTCAGCTGTCATCTATTCTGCCTCATAACTGAATAATAATCCCCACCAAACCATAACTAAGTAGCTATTCAACCTCTGCTTGAAGACCTCCAAAGAGAGGCTTCACATTTCCTCCAGAGGCAGGCAGACCCTTCTACTTCTGAAGCAGCTCTCATTCATGGGAAGTTTCTCTTTATAAAACAAACAAACAAAAAAAACACACCAAAAACTAAAAAATAAATATGCCTCTTTGCCACTTTTACCCTATGCCCTTGATTCTTCTGAGTTCAAATAAAACAAGACTACCATCTTTTTGACATGACTGGCCTTCACATACTTGAAGACAGCTTTCATAGGGTCTTCTATGAAAAAGATCCCTAGTTCCTTCAACCAATCCTCATAGGCCATGGACTTGAAGCATCACATTGTCCTGGCTTCTTCTGGACATCCCCAACTTATTAATATTCTTTCTGCATACCTGTGTGATATACTACTTTATTTTTACTTTGTTCAGTCATATACAACTCTTCATGATCCCCTAGACCACATTGTCCATGGGTTTTGTTTAGTTTTTTGTGTTTTTTTTTTTTTTGCAAAAATACTGGAGTGGTTTGCTGTTTCCTTCTCCAGTATATTAAGGTGAACAGAGGTTAAGTGACTTACCCAGGATCACACAACTAGTAAATCTCTGAGGCCAGATTTGAGTTTGGGTGTTCCTCATTCCAGGCCCAGCACTCTATCCACTAAACCATCACCTCTTACTACTTTATGGTGCTCACCAATTAGTTCATGCATGTATATCCTCCCAATAGATTGTAAGGTAAAATATTATTTTCTATTTCTTTTATATTTTTCAAAGTGTCTAGCATTCCAGGCTACTGAAACACAGTAACTATTCAATAGATATTTGTTGAATTCTACTTTGCAAAGAAAGCATTTAACCAAATCTTCAGTAGAATGACAGTGATATATATGTGTCTTCTATATATCTGGAGCATCCTACTCCTTAAATGGTTTTTTGCCACTGTCATCTCTGACCTGTAACCACCGTTAAATGTAAATAGAGGCTCACTGAGAATTAAATCTGGAAGCACAGCTTTGAATAGTATTCCTTGCCACACATCTCATATGATTCAAATCTTAGTTTCAGTCATTGGTATATTGGCTCCAAGGTGTCATTTAGTTATGAACTCAGTGATAGAAACTTTTCAAAGTAACTGTAGATTTCAAGGGAAAGCACTGAGTAGAATACATAAGAATTTTCAGTGTCTGTCCTGTCCAGCTCCATTCCAATTTCTACTGGGACAGAATCCAGCTAGTAGAGAGGTCAACTAAAATTCATAGGAATGAGGAAGTGGGGATTGCCTTAGGGTGTTAGAGGAAGAGATTGAAGTATACCATAAGGACAAGAAGGCCCAAGCCAGGGGCTCCAGCACCTAAAGACATGAGTCATAATGGTGATGATGATGGTAATAATAATAATGCACATTTATTTGTTAGCACTAAAGCACTTTCCTCACAAAAATCATGTGAGGCAGATCCACTTTATACATGTGGAAACTGAGACTCTGAAAGATTAAGTAACCACAGAGCTAGAAAGAGTTTAAGGCAGAATTCAAACATAGATGCTCTAACTCCACATTCTATGCTTTATCCACCACAAAATCTAGAGGGTACTAGAGACGTTTCCGTTGTAGTAGTGAGTTTTAATCAAGAAGCCAAAAACAATGAATGCCTAAGAAAGGCTTTAAGCTAAGTCAAAGTCTGGTTAGAAAAAAAATATGTCAGCAACAAGGATGGATGGGACCAAAAGCAAGGGATCTCTAACTTGGAGGCAATATTCATCACTCATCTGCTTTCTTGTTTCCTTTTCTACTAGACACGTATCTCCATTCTTCTTGAGGAACTCTAGTTATTGCTATAACCAGCAATGGACAGAGTACATCTTTGCTACTGCCTTGCAGAAAGTATGGTTAAATGTCCCAAATCATACGTATGTGTAGATATCTATATCTATATCTATATCTATATCTATATCTATATCTATCTATATCTATATCTATATCTATATCTATACACATGTACCTATATCTACTACTTTAGTAAAGAGGGCAGTTAGAGTAAGGCATGAATGAGTCAATCAGTAAATGAACATTTATTAAGCACCTACTGTGTACCAGGCAATGGAGTTACAACTAACGGGGAACAGTAAGAAAACACTTATGTACGAACAAAATACATACAGGATAAATTGAAGATAATCAACAGAGGGAAGATACTGGAATTAAGGGGGATCAGGAAAGGCTTCTCAAAGAAGATTTTATTTGGAATTTGAAGGAAGCCAAAGAAACCAAGAGACAGAGATGAGGAGGGAGAATATTTTCAGGCATGGGGAACAGCCAGTGCAAATGTCTGGAGTCTGGCGATGGAGTATCTTAAGCCAGGAAAAGAAAGGAGGCACGTGTCACTGGATGGAAGAATATGTAGTGGAGAGGGAGACACAGTAGACTATGAGAAGACCAGAAAAGTAGGAGGGAGGCTAGAATATGAAGGACTTTAAACACCAAACAGAAAATTTTTTATGTGATCCTAGGGGTGTTAGGGAGCTGCTGGAATTTACTGAATAGGGGGATGACATGGTCACATCTGCATTTCAGGAAGATTAATTTGACAGGTGAGTAGAGGACAGATTGGAGCAGAGTGAGACTTGAAGCAGGGAAACCAACCAGCAGGCT